TTTGGTCTACGCGTTCGCGAAGAGTGGAGTCGACAAAGCTTCGCGTTCGGGAGGCCGGGTTCGCATTCGCGAATAGGGGTGTGCATTCGAATCGATTTATCGATAAATCGAATCGATTATTTGTTATCGGTTTATCGATTTATCGATTTCGATTTCGATTTTTTCCTCTTCGGTTATCGGTGTATCGATAAACCGATAAGATATACTAAAAAGACAAATATACCCTTATTCTATAATACCCTTTCCTTTACCCTAAGTCCCTAACCCTATAATCGGCAGAGCAGCTTCTCTGAGGTAACCTGGTTGATTTCTCGTAGGGTTTCAGGACTGTACCTAACCAAATGGCTCCAGCTAAAGCTGATCCGTCCCCAAGCCAAAAAATCTGACCCCAAGGCACAGGCAGCTAAGGTTGCCAAGGCCGTCAAGTCAGGATCAACCTTCAAGAAGAAGTCACAAAAGATAAGGACAAAAGTTACATTCCACCGACCCAAGACTTTGAAGAAAGATAGAAACCCCAAGTACCCTCGTATCAGTGCACCTGGAAGGAACAAACTTGATCAGTATGGGATTCTAAAGTATCCCCTCACCACCGAGTCTGCGATAAAGAAGATCGAGGACAACAACACCCTTGTTTTCATCGTGGACATCAAGGCTGATAAAAAGAAGATTAAGGATGCCGTGAAGAAGATGTATGACATCCAGACAAAGAAGGTCAATACCTTGATTAGGCCTGATGGGACAAAGAAAGCATATATGAGGTTGACTCCTGACTACGATGCATTGGACGTTGCCAACAAAATTGGAATCATTAAACTAGTTACCTGTTTAGAATTTTACTAGAATTTAAAATCCTGGATTTGAGTTTTTAGATACACTTGAATGGAAGTGCCTTCTATTTTCCATTTTGAATTTTGTGTTTTGGAGACATGTTTTTTTCCGTATAAGAGAAATCAACTTTATGCTGCAGTATTTCTTTCTCGAAAAAAGTCCCTAACCCTATTATTTTCTCTACCCATTCTTCAGCGCCGCTTTTACCTTTCTCCCTCTCTCCCGCGAACTGCAAACCCAACAGAGAAAGTGAACACTCCGGCGACTTCAATAGTACGTTTCTCCCTCTCTCTCCGGCGTACACCAAATTTTCTTATTGGTGTGATCGATAACCGAATCAATAAGCCCCAAAAATCGATAAATCGAAATCGAAAAAATCAAAACCTTATTGAAACGATAACGATAAGCATATGTACAAATCGATAATCGATAAGTAATTATCGATAAGGGTCAAAATTGAATCGATAAATCGAATGCACACCCCTATTCGCGAAGGGTTAATTTGAGGGGCAGTCAGGATGGCCTACGCGAATGCGAGAGGGAGGTCGCGTTCGCGATGAAGGCTTCGCAGGGTTCAAAAATGAGGGTTCCGGGATTTTTCACACTTCTAACATTTTTAGCTCGGTTTTGGAGATTTTTGAGAGGATTTTGAACGTGATTCTCGAGGTAAGTTTCTTAATAATTATGTTTCCCCACTGATTTTCCCACCTAGTTGGTGTGTTTTTGAGGTGTAATTTGGGGGTTTGAGGCTTGAAAATTGGAGAGATGATTGTGGGGATTTGAATGGCCATTTGGTGTCGGATTTTGATGAATTTGGTATGGGTAGACTCGTGAGTGAATGGAATTTCTAGTTTTGTGACTTTTGTCGGATTCCGAGACGTGGGCCTGGGGGCCGGGTTTGAGCCAGTTTCGGGATTTGAGCCCAATTTAGTAGTTTTCTTGTGGAATTGGTTCCTTTGGCATATATTGATTGTGTTGTATTACTTTTGGTCAGAATCGGGACGTTTGGAGGCCGATTCGAGAGGCAAAGGCATCGCGTAGTAGGATTTTGCTCGGATTGACGTAAGTAACAGTAGTAAATCTGGTCTTGAGGGTATGAAACCCCGGACACTGTGTCTTGTGACTATTTTGGAGGTGACGCACATGCTAGGTGACGGGCGTGTGGGCGTGCACCGAGGGGATTGTGACTTGGTCCGTCCCGTAGAAACTGTAAAGTTGAACAATATGCTGTTAGATAGATGAAAAGTTCTACAGACAGTTTCTCTCTTTTTACCAGCTTCTTAGGCATTACAAATATCCGTGACCAATAAATTTGGATGGAGAATAGCATTGTTTTGATTAACTGAAGCCTTCCTGCATAGGATAAATACTTTGAATTCCAGGAAGTGATCCTTCCTATCATTTTCTCCAATAGTGGTTGGCATTGTGTTTGAGAGATCCTCTTGGTTCTTAGTGGAACACCAAGGTATTTGAAAGGCAATTCTCCCCTGCTAAAACCAACTGCTTGCATTATGTCATGTTGTATGTCTTATGGTACACCCCCAAAGTATATAGAACTCTTTGCCGCATTTTCTTTTAGCGCAGATATTTTAACAAATTCCATGAAGCAATTGTATACCATTTGGACAGACAAAGTATCTCCTCCGCAGAATAACAATAAGTCATCCGCAAACCCCAACAGTATAATATTTATCTTATCACATCTGGGATGAAAGTTGAAGTCAGGATCATTCTTCAAGGTCTTGAGCAGCCTAGTAAGATATCCCATACCAAGGACAAATAGGTGTGGAGACAATGGATCACCTTGTCTTAAGCCTTTCCTAGCTTTAAATGGTCCCATAGATTTCCCATTTATAAGAATTGTGTAGGACACAGTGCACACACAAGCCATTATCCATCTAATAAACCTCTCCGGTATATTCAGACTAGCCAGGACTTGCTCTAGAAAAACCCATTAGATGAAATCATAAGCTTTTTGCATGTCCAATTTAATCATAAATCTAGGTGATATACTCTTTCACCAGCTCATGACTTGGAATTATATTATTTGTGATAACTCTCCATGGTACAAAGCCTGACTGACTTTTATCTACTAAATGATCTATCACTCCTTGTAGTCTATTAGCCAAAATCTTGGAGATGATTTTATACAGCAATGTGCAACAGGAAATAGGCATGAACTCTTTAATAGTTGAAGGATGGTGTACCTTTGATATCAAGGTAACAATAGTTACATTGATAGGCAAGTACATTTCAGTTGTATTGAAGAACTGAAGTACTGCCTTGGTGATCTCCTGACTTGTGATGCCCCATGATTTTTTAATGAACTTTAAGTTGAAACCATCACACCCTGTATCCTTTAGATCATCAATCCCTTTGAGTGCATTGTGAACCTCCTCTACAGTGATAGGTTCAATTAGTTTCAGCTACTGGCTTCTATCTAGCACCTTTCCTTTTTTTTCATAATGTCTGATTGTATAGGTGGTATAGCATCAGCTAAGGATCCCAGTAACTCTTTATAGAATCTCACTATTTTCTCTTCCATTGCTTTCATTGACTGTACTACCTCTCCTGTATTGATCACCAGACTTCTGATTTTGTTTTGGCTTATTCTATTCTTCATACTGGCAAAGTAGAAAGCAGAGTTAGAATCTCCCAATTTCAGCCATTGTTTTCTAGATTTCTGCTTATATATATTCTCCTCTATGTTAACACATTTCTCTAGTTGTTTCTTCAGTTCTTTCTCCTCATCAAAATTCTGTGGAGGTGAGTTAGTAGTTCTCATCTGTTCTTGCATCTCATTTAATTTTTGCCTAGCAGTCCTTACCTTCACATCTACTGCTTTAAATATAGTTATATTCAGCCTTTTTAGTTCTTTCTTAACATCCTTCAGCTTTCTCCAGATTCCAGTCATATGCTCCACTTGTTGAGGTTTGTTCCAAGCTCCTGCAACTATTGGTAGGAAGTCCTTATGCTCTGCCAAACAGTTGAAGAATCTAAAGGGCTTTGAGGCCTTTGGCTCATCCCCAAACTTGACACACAATGGAGAGTGATCTGAGAAGAAAGGATCCATAATCGCAACATTTAGTTGGGGCATGTTAGTTACCCATTCTGCATTCACTATCACTCTGTCGATTTTACTTAACACATGGGAGTTAGTCCATATGAAGTTTCTTCCCACTGTTCTCATTTCAGACATCCCAGCATGTTAGGATTTGATATTCGCTAGTTTATTTAGTTCATGTCTAGATAGGATTTGTAGTCAGAATTAATATAGGAATAAGCTTTCCTATTCTAGTTAAAATAGGTTTCGCACTATTATAAATAGGGATATTAGTAGCTTATTTTATGTATGTGGATATTTATGAGAAATGTAGAGAGCTTTTAGAGATTTATAATAAAAATATTTTCCTTCATATTGGTATCAGAGCTTCTACGATCTTGGGAGAGAATCAAGTAGCTTCGGCTGCCGGCGAGTGGCGCTAGCCAATATGTGCCGCTCGTCTGGTTATTGAGTATGTTGGCAAATAACGGGCCAATGATATTTGCATGTAAAAAAATAGAAGAATTAATTTCAAGTTCAAAGAGGTGCAAGCCAACCCAAAAAAAATTTCACTCACAAAACTTCAAAAACAACCCAAAATTATATTCATGTACAAACACAACTCTAAATTTCAAATACCATTTTCACTTGAATTTTTTTTTTTCTTTCATTTGGAATTTACAATTCTTATGTCCAAACGCCCACTTAATGTGTAGAGGAAATAAAGAATTATAGAGATCGTTCGTATATTTATAATAAAATATTTTTCCTTCACTTATGGAGCTATAGGTGGCTACTTGATGGGGTTGGTCGCATCCTTGGTTTGCATTATCTTCTGTAACCGCCAGCAGCATCTAAAAGGAGAGTAGTGTAGGACGACTTGATATGTTATGGTTTTAGTTTACTTTGTAGACAAAGTTTTGACCCGTTGTTAGTCTTGCTCAACTACATAGCTGCCATTTTTTTTCTTTTCATGATTTAGTTTTCCTGTTGCTTTAGCTCTTTACATGGTTCAATTTTTTATTTTTTATTTTTTTTATTTTATTTTTTGGTGAACGGTTAAAGGTAACGAGAAAGGGAAAGGGAAAGGGTAATGGAATTTCAGAAAGAAAACATTTTAGCTCAACTGTGAAGAAATGCTGATCACGATGATCAAAATTACAATTTACCAAATGACCGAAGGGACCAAAAGTGCAGTTATCCCAAGAAAAACAAACGAACAAGTGGAAACGTGATTCTGAGTTGGAGGAATTGAGTGGTGACTTGCTCCTTAGTCCATTGAAGGATTTTAAAAGCCTTCAGAATGGCAAATTATCTTCACATTTGTACCTCAATAATGTTATTTTCCAGTTCATTCATCGTCACATCGTCGTTTACATCTGTATGCCACAAGAAAATGGCACTCAAACAGCAGAGCCTAACATCCACGGTTAATTCTTAGCAACAGAGAACTCTTCACGTATGTCAAATAGTTTCCTGGACCAAGTTTGGTGCAATTTGATATATATATATATCATACTATAGCACAGATGTCTAAAAGAATACAGGAGGAATGTTACATTGAGCTATACGAGTATGCCCCTCACAAGGAAAGAAAGGAGCAATCATTCAACTAACCGCTATTTCAGCTAGAAAACGATCATTGTGCTAGAAGAGCTTGAGTTTTCCTTTGGCCATCGATGCTTTTCCATGCTCCACGTAGCATGCTGCTTTTTGAGTCCCTTTCAAGCCAGAACATGAGTCACCGGCCCCTAAAGTGACTGCAAAGTAGAGATAGATAGTGCAGAGAAACGCTAGGAGGGCAAGCGCAGTTAGCAGGAAGCGGTGACGCTGAAGTAGAGTCGAACAGCTCCCAAATTCATCATCTCGTGAATGTTGTCTTTTTAATGATGATGAAGCTGAAAATGCAGTCTGCGTCTGTGACCTCCTATGAGGTGAAGATATATTAACTTCAAGAACCATAGCTTACACACTGAATCTTTTGCAACCGGATACAATTCCTGCACCTACTTGAATTCAACATAGTAAGCATTATTGAGTGCTATAGAAGAGCACAGAACACTGATTAAATTCTGGGGGAAGCAAATAGAAGTGAAAATCTACATTTTACTGGCCCTACGCCGTAAGCAACAGCAATTGGGAGAAGACAAAGAGGGACGGTAATACAATAGGCATCAGCTAGCTAGCTTTCAGCCAAGAAACCCCATGGTATGGAGCCAGTTCATAACACATCTAGAAATTAAAATCTGAACTATTGAAAATATTTAAACAATTTGACTAAGCAAACAATGTCAGAGTGGCAACGATAACAGTAAAATGATCGGCAAATATTATGGCCAATGATAGCAATTTCACATCCTTCTTTTCTTACAACTAAACTGATTAGAAATATTATTTTCTGGATATGAAAAGAGAGAGAGAGAGAGAGAGAGAGAGAGAGAGAGAGAGAGAGAGAGAGAGAGAGAGAGAGAGAGAGAGAGAGAGAAATTATATATGCATCAATTATACGGTAGGGGAGAATGTACGAACATGGTTAGAGGGCAGAGTAGCAGATCTCTATTCCGTCTTAGTTTTCCATCATGTCACAGAGGTTTCATCATTTTTTCAGTTCATATCACTTATATTAAAACTCAGAAAAGTTTCATACGAGATTTGATTGAACTAAATCGGTTCAATATCTAGTTACCATATATGCTTTTCTCATTATTCATCTCTATCAATATGCAAAGAATAACAATCTCCTCACACTAGTCATTATGTAACGAGACTATGCTAACAAATGATAATGTAACACTATCGTAGTGAAGTCGTATATGGATGTGATCCGGCACCATGAATGTCAATGCTGCATGCAAAGAATCCAAGTTTGCTCCGTCTAGTTCTAAGATGAGAAAGGCAATCAAGTCATGATATTCAGAAATTCCAAAAGATTTCTGACGTAATAGCTATGGTTAATTCCTATAGCTGTCGTTATCAGTCTGATTATGGAATTCAGATTCTTCCGCACCATAACATTCATGTTCTCACTTCTCCCCATCAAAGGATCAACAACCTAGCCTGTTCATTCGCACAAACCAACTTCATAACTGCATAAATACAGCTCAACTGGACAATTGGCAAGGACCATCACTCCCAGAAAATCCCTAAAGTGAAAATCTCTTTTTGAGTTTAGGAGTGATAAACCCAACTCAACGTGCAAAGAAAATGTTAAGCAGCTGTAGTTCAACAGATTGCATACTTTTCTTTAAACATGTAGTGTGTTAATGCCTTTAGACAATTTGTGTAAAATCACTCAATACGACGTAACTACATTATTCAACTGGTCTGAAAAAGTTGATTGTATCAAACCTCTAGCTTATCAGGCTAAGACCTCTTCCTGATCCATAATTACAATTAAGCCCAATATACTTAATCTCCACAAAGTTATTATTCCCTAACCAACAGAGCTTGTTGAAATCACACGATTTCATCAATATGCTTTGTACAAGGCCTGAAACATAATTCGCCTCCAAACATCAAACAAACTCACTAGTCAGTGCCCCTCATTCCCAAACTAGTTAGACTTTGCAGTAATGCAAACATCCCCAAACTCAGTAAATACTGCACCTCAATGTTAATAGTTGCATTTCGACTTGAGAGTCCAAATATTAAACTCCTTTATTACTAAAAATCGTACAATGACATCCGACATATACGGATCTCAATTGTGTTGATAAGATAAAAAAGTTCCCAAATTATTTCCCAAGGGCAGTCAATAATGGAGTTAATAAACCAATGAATTTGGACAAATCGATAGGAATACAACAGATCTGCAAAACCGTATAAAAGAGAAACCACATTGTATACAGCTGAAAAATTACACGTATGAATTAATTGAGATGACAAAAGGGAAGGGCCTTACAATGGAAGGGAAAGCGAAAAGAATGTCCTTCAGCCAGATCAGAGCTATGGGGATTGAAGAGATGTCCTTTTCCTTGCAAAAATCAACAGTTTGTTTTGAGGAATTATTTATGAGAATCCAGAGCTCCCTTTTGATTCGGAGAGATGCCCGCAACGACACGAGGGTCACACGCTTTCTCTAGAGAGATAGACAAGATTTGGACTTTGTTCATTGGTGTTTAGTGTTCAAGTATTATAACGCCAGCTCATTACTGTACAATTTAGCTTGTAAATAAATTTGGATAAAATTGTGTTGATTTTGAGGCTTTGCTTCCTTAATGTTTACTACTAAAATTATTTTATATCGGTTTATTGTGTATATGCATGTTATTGTAAAAGTCTTCCCCAAAAGATTAGGTGTGTGATTAATGATTTGCCAAGTTTTAGGGGCATTTCTTGTATTATCTCTATAAAATATTTTGCAAAAGTTATGTTGAATTACTTTCTCTACTAAAAGGCGCCTTTGTCACAGCTCGTCTTGTAACTCTCGGCGAATGTGGATGTAAGAATTTAGTAGTACCGTGTTTTATAGACGTTTGGAAATGGGTTGACATCCAGTCCAGTAAAATCTCTCCAGTAAAGTTCAATAGAGCATTTATATGTTATGTTACGCAGTGTCTTCCTGAGATTCCATGGAAGGGCGACGTAAGGCTAAGCAATCGATATCTGTGTGATTAGTATCCGCCAATTGGGGTCCCCTCTGTATGCTAGACGAGATTGTCAGTGCTATACGGAAAAACCAATGTCAAGAGCAATTGAGAGAATAGAAAAGAGAATTGAGAATGAAAGAAAGTTTGATTGCATTAATGAAAGCTATTACTAAAAAGCAACACGGTGTCGAGGAGGAGAGAGACCAGTATAGAAAATTGTTTGCTTGATAGAAAGTTTGATTGCTTGATCCCCACTAATAGTACTTAAAAAAATAAACCAAAGTTACGGGACTTGACATAACTAAGCTAGAGAGACATAATGGAAATACATGAAGTAAAACTACTCTATATTTACAATAGAAATGACTTAGATTCCTACAATGCAGAAGCAGGTCCGTTGGCAGCAACTTTGTCTTTAGCATCAAAGCCTGCGCGCACGGCGCTGTTGGTATCTGCTTGCGGTTGTGCGCTAGCGAAGGCTATCGGTGGGCCGACATAGGCACAGGCGCGCTTGTCACTTGGCGCGGCCAAGACCACGGGGTCGTTCATGGCGCTAGGTGTTGGGAGGCTTGCCAGGACGCCATGGGGCGCGTCCAATGGGTCGTGGGATATGGCTGGAAAGCCGCCCATGACAATTAACACGTACTCTAGTGTAGTTTCAATGGTTAGGATCTATTTAGTCTTTAACTATAGTTAATTCTTCTCTAACTTCTCTTTATTCCCACTGCGATAACACATGCATGTCTTCTTAATACTTTCTACTCTCTTCATTCTTCCTTCTTCAAACTCCTTTAGAACTTCAGCCAAATAATTTTTCAATTATCTCCCTCCATTCTTCAAGATCTGTATGGTTTATATTGCTCTCTTTACGGAGTTGATAATTGTTCGTTCTCTTTCGTCCTTGAATATTCAGGACTGATTTTCTTCTCGTCATAACAAGCCCCCAATTTGGTACTTTTTGGTACTATTTGGTTGAAGATGAAGCATATTGTCCTTTCCTAAGAACACTAGTTATTCATTAGTAATATGATTTAGTTTCATTTGAATTGAGTTACATATAATACACGAATTGAATTATTAGGCCGGAGCTCCATCGGGGTTGACTGGAGGTACTCTGTTCCCTGGGGCGGCAATGTTATCGTTCTCGCCATGGAGACCAAGGCCATTGTTTGTGTGTGTGGGTGCTACTTGAGAGCTTGACATGTTGATCCTGGAATCAAAGACACTTCAAAGAACAGGTGTAAAATAGTGTGTGTTACAAAAATTGTACCAGGCAATCACTATTATCCTTAGTCCCACGATGGGCGCCAAACTGTTTACCCCAAAAATTGGATAACAATTAAACTTATAAGTGGCTTTCTTATATGTAATTTCACCTAGCACCAGTTGATAAATACGATGATTAATAGTAGAAATAAACAACAAAGTAAAGTAAACCAGTATCAAAATACAATTCAGCCCTCGAGCTAGGTCGCCCTCGAACTGAGCGAGTGAGAGTAAAGTTATGGGATAAACTGATGAACAAGAGAATGAGAGAAAAATATTGTATTGTTTTGGTATACGTGAATGTAAGGTGGTTACAAAATGATTAGAACCCTCTTTATATAGTAGAGAAATACTATCTATGGTACAATTCTAATTACAGAAGTAAATCTAATGATTAGCTAAACAACCGCCCTTGATTTGATCTATTCCGAGATTTTCGCCATGATCTTCGACCAGTCACGGATATCTCGCCTTTCCATTATTATGTCGTCTTCGGTCTTGCTCGATGTCTTGTCGCCTTCAACCTCGATCATTATCGGTTTCGATCTTGCTAGGTACCTCGAATCCGTACTCAATACCTTATCCTTGTGTCTCGGTCAGATATGCTACAGGGTTAATCCTCGATCCATCCCCTTGGGCTCGGTCAATCAGTAAAATCTGGAGGGCCCGATTCTAACCGTATACAGATAGTCCCCTCATTTTTGGAATGCAATGGCAAGAAGCGAATTGAGCCTTCGAATTTATCCTCGATTTATCATGACATAAGCATTGTGACGTAAACGACAAAGGTGACCGAAACGTCTCGTCGGTTAAGTTTCCCAGGCATTTAAGGCGTGTCAGTTGCTGGTCGGCCACTAGCAAATTTGAACCGTCGCCATGAAACCCATAAATAGGTCTCTTTTCCATATTTCAAACTTTACTTTTAATCACTTCCCCTCCAATCTTCAAAGATCTTTGCATTTTTCAAGTTCTTCTTCTGCAAATCTTCAAGTTTCATTGCTAGCCTATTCTTAAAACTCCAGATACCTTAATCCTCGTTCTTCCTTGTTCATAAAAATGGTCAAAACATCTAAGACCATTCCGCAAAAAGAAAAAACCTCCTCGTCTTAGCCGGCTGGCGAATAACCGGCTGCGGAGCCACGCCCTGAAGAGTTCGTTCCTGGGGGGTGTGTTATCGACTCTGCTTTTAAGGTCAAAAAGACCTCCTCGGTTTCGGGCCGATGCGAGCCCATGTCGAGGTACATATGCACGATCACTGGCAGCCTTCTCGAGCAAGTCAAAAAGGATTGCAACTGGGTCGACAAGCACGTGGTGGTGCCCTCACCTGAGGAGTCAATCACTACTTATGTGGAAGGATTTCTGAGTGTTTACACTTACCCTTTCACATTGGGTCCCTTGGACCCGTTCATCGTGGAATTATACAAGAAATATGAAGTCACCCTCAGCCAAATACACCCCTCCTTCTGGAGGATAGTGATACTGCTCTGTTATTTCGTGAGCCAAGTCGACGGGCTTACTTTCACCCTCGACCATCTCATACGACTATATAGCCCCCGACTTTATCGAGGGGAGGTAATAAAACTTCAGCGTCGGGCCTCCAAGGCGGCTTTATCGAGCATAGACAAGGACAAGGACCGGAGCTGGATGGGCCGATTTGTCCGAGTAAAGAGCTCGGACCTGAACCCGGCCAAAAATATGCCATTTCCCGAGAAATGGAATATGAGACGTAAGTATAACTCCCCTTTCTAACTTCTGCTTTATTACCTTCACTTATCTTTTCTTATTAGTGTTTCGTTTGTTGCAGCTGTTGCCTAGATGTCGGGTGCTATTTCCCAGCTCAAGAACTGGGTCAGAAGATTGGTGTCGAAATCGACACATGCTGAACGTGAGAGGCCGATGGGAGGCCCGAAACCACGGTAGGTTTTCATACAACTCGATAACTCTGACCATTGCTTGACTTTCTTTTTTGATCTCATTTACCCTTCTTTTGCAGGTCTTGGGAAGGATGCGCCGATGAGGCCCCCATCTGGTGATGAAGAAGACTCACTCCCTGCCCCAAAGCCGGCAAAGGAAAGCAAGACGTAAAGGGCTTCGACCTCCAAGGGGCCAGAGCCTAAGAATAAAGTGGCTCGAAAGTCCAAGAAGGATGTGAATCCCCTGTCCACGAAGTCAGTTCAACTCCTAAGAGAGGAGGAGGAAGAAAAGGAGGATGATTCTGGTCTGGTGGCTGATAGTAGGGATTTTGACCGCTTATTTGCTCTCTTTTACTTGCTTTTTAGCTAAAAAATGCTTAAAGGTATTCCCGGAAACTAACAAAATGTGCTTGCTTGCAGGAATATTGGGAAATGAGCCATAGAAGTCAAAATCAACTCGTAAAGGAGTCAAAAATGAACGAAACCCAAAACAAGGCAAAAAGGCCAGCAGTGCGGACCGCACAATTCTAGTGCGGCCGCAGAGGGGATATTCAGAGAGCAGCGTTTGGGCCAGCTAAAGGCATGCGGACCGCACCGAAATTGTGCGGCCGCTGGAGGTCTAGTGCGGCCGCAGTCATTATTATGCGGTCCGCAGGTTTGAAGAATCAGAGAGCTATTTCAAGTCCAAAAGCAGAGAGTGCGGACCGTATCACTTTTGTGCAGCCGCACCCATTTTTATACGGACCGCAGAAGCCCTGAAGTTCCAAGCCCAAGTTCCCAAGGATGCGGACCGCACTATAATTGTGCGGCCGCAGAAGCCCATTGTACAGACCTCACCAGAATTATGCGGCCGCACAACCTTCGCAGGGGCATTTTTGTCAGATATTTTCAGCTTAGTATAAATAGTACTTTTTGTCATTTTTAGATCAATTTTAGTTTTCAGAGGTACACCTGAGCAGTTTTCTTTACTTTTTTGAGTAATTTTGTACTATATTAACTTCAACACATTAGATTTTCGTTATCCAATCAATTACTATGCATTCTATCTTAATTACTTCATTTTTCATGAGTAGCTAAATCTTTAGCTAGGGTTGTGGCCCAACCCTAGTGTGGGTACTTAGTGGGTATTTAATTTAGGGCTTTTTTGTGATTGGGTTAGTGATATTTAACCTTTTTTATGCTTGAATTCTAGAATTAATGGTTGCAAACATTGATTCATGCCTATTTGACCTAGTCTTTACTTGAGAAAGAGAGACTAAGTCTAGGAAAACTTGGCTAACAAGGAATTGGGGTGAACTCAAGAAATTGATAGCCCCAATTAAAGGGTCAAATATAGAGATAGTAAGACCCAACTTGAGCGTATATAGAGTG